AACGCATATAAGCACTGCAACGCAAGTTTTTGGTCCGAGACTTTAGAGCAGCATGTCTAGCTCAAACGATGCCGCGCCTGCCATCGACGAGCTCATTGAGCGCGCCGATAATGTCATAGCCCGTGCGACTACCTACGAAAGACAGATTGACGCCGTGGAGCCTCTGCTGCCTCCGGAACATCCAGATCTTTTGTCGAAGTTTTTGCAAGCACAGGAGGTGGCGGTAGCCACAAGGGCCGAGGTGCGTAAAGTCGTGCTTAAGCTGAAGGACCTCAAGCTGCAAGAGGCGTCTTCGACCGTCCCTGAGTGGCTACTTTCTAGTCTCAGTTGCCACGAGTGCGCAGTGCGCGACGTTGAGATCTTTCTCTGTGAGGAACTTAGTGTGCCTCCAGGTTTTTTTGATGATTAGCTTCGGAGCAGTGCGCACACGGCATAGAGGCCTGCCAGTTTTGAAAACAGATGGGGAATTTTTAATGTTTGCCGTTTTGCATGCTTGACCATGGTTTGTGCGGGCAACATCTGCATTGTCGCTTGTGCTTGGTGTCATGTTGTTTTTGCGCTGGCTCAAAAGGTTTAGTCGATAGGACGCCAGGCCTGGACTCACCTTCAGCAAGTCGTGAAGTATATAAGTAGTAGCCCCTCGTTATATAACCCTCTAAACCTTGTATATGACCTGCAGGTGCATGCCGCGCACGCGTGGACATGAAGGTCGTGGAGTGCCAGACTTACTCATGCCAGGCTCTTGTGAAGAACTGCCACTCCTTTCAGGAGAGGCAACTCCTTTGAGGAGTTGCATGGAACTCCTTTGAGGAGAATGGCGCCAAGGTAGGGTCTGTTTTGCAAAGTGTCTTCTTGCGTGGTCCAAGTCTTGCAGCTTAGAAGTGCGCAGTCAGACGAGTCCTTGCAGTGCCTTTGTGCTCAAGTGTTCCAGCGACTTGCCCGTGCCCCTGCACCTGCCAGGATGGACCGTCCTCGAGGAACATGGAAGCATCCCGCAGCCAGGCAAGAGTCCCTTGATGGAAGGAAAGATTTGAGAAGGTGCGTGCGCTGTGGATTTCAGAGCTACATCCGGAAGGTTGGCTGTGTGGTCTTCGGCTGTGTGGCGTACTACATGAACAAGCCGGTGGAAAAGCGCCAATCTCCGTGGAAGCGCGGCCGCGGCGAGAGCACCTCTGTGTACACTCCGCAGGAGTGGTACCAGAAGATGAGTTGGGTGGAGGAAAAGGCGATCCGCTCAAGTTTGCAGGAACCTGACTCGGACAGCGAGTCTGAGAAAGGGGATGCCGAAGCCGCCTCAGCCTCAAAGCCCGACGTGCCGGTCATCGATGTGGACTCCTCGGATGAGCAAAGCCTGGATGAGATTCCAGACGCCTTGGCCTGGCTCAATATCAAAATAGAACCTCCTGCTGAGGAGGCTGCTGCTGAGGAGGCTCCTGCTGAGGAGACTCCTGCTGAGAAGGCTTCTGCTGAGGAGGCTCCTGCTGAGGAGGCTCCTGGAAAAGCTCCTGCTGAGGAGGCCGAGGCAATGAATGCGGACACCGAGGACGTCGCCAATGAGCCCCAGCGCAAGCGGATTCGCAGAAAGAGACCCCCTCAGCCAGTTCCAGTTCCCAAGGTGCGGCCCATGAACATCCTAGACGTTGCTCCTTCTGAGGAGTCAGCTCCAGGTGCTCCTGAGGCTCCGGATGCCGATACGAATGCTGCTGAGGCTCCTACAGAGGAGACCGGAAATGTTCAGGCTGAGGCTCCTCCTCCAGAGGAGACCGGAACTGCTCAGCCGGCAGCAGAGGTGCCATCAAGCTCCACCGGTGATCAGGGTTGGACGGCCG